ATATATATATATATATATATATGTATATTTGTGGTATTATTTCTGGTTGCTTATCGGTTTGTTTTGGTTGATTTTTCTCATTTGCTTGGGAGTGTAGCATACATATATGTATGTGCCTAGGGCTACACCGCTTGTACACTCAATATTTTGGTAGTTATTTATACTAATGCTTGCTTCTGATACCAGAAAGAAACTTCACTTTGCTGTCTATGCTGAATTTAATAACAAAATAAATATTATTTATGGCTGATCAGTATCTGTATATACAACGCGTACATATCTACAATTGTAGGCCCCATACGGCCCCATCCATTTATACATATATATGCATTTGTATATACATCTGCACACAGCTTCTTATACACTGGGTGTGTGTGTGCTATTATCTTGCTGTATTTTGTGTTTACATGGATGTCTTGTTTTGGTGTCGTCTACATCGTATCGAGTCGTTCTTATAGAGACAGATATGCATCCCATGTGGCTGTTCTCCTTAGCAAGGACACTTGTTACAATACTATCCGAAATGGCAAAACATGTTGTTCTTGTTCGTTAATATGGGTAGTTTTTCCCTTCTCCTCTCATGATTATGATGATGGCTTTATTATATATCTGCTTTTCCATAATTAACACTTCACTCCACCCGGTCCACTACTTTTCCTGTCCTACGTATCTTGCAATTTGGGATTCTTTAAGGAATATCCAGTTGGCCAAAACCCGAAAAGTTCTATCTCTTTCTCTCTCTATATATATCCATAGATATATGCATATATCTAGCTATCTGTATCTACCTGAAGATGATGCCACCTATTATCGAGATATTAGAACTATGGTGGATCCTCTTCTTTTTGGTGACTAGTTGCGGGGGAACTCTTCTAGTTGGCAACCAATAGTTGCTGATACGATGATCCGGTGCCGTAGAAAGAGCTAATGCCATCAATCAGTTTGTTGTTGTTGTTATTGTTTCCCGAGGATGAGGACGGTTGTTCCTGGGCAGCTTGCTGTTGTTGTTGTGGTTGCTGTGCTTGCTGGTTGTTGGTGTTGGAAGGAGTCGAATTGGTTGTTGATGTGCCCGTTGTCGATGTGTTTGCCTGTGTTGTCGCCTGTGTCACCGCCGCCCCGCCCACAGTGGGCGTTCCCAGGGGGCTATTCTCGGTCGATGAATCTCCAGCAATGGCAACGGCAACGGCCACGGCAGCAGCAGCAGCCGCCGCCGATGAGGATGATGATGTATCCTCCATGGGCACACCGCAGTCCACATTCAGGCCAAAGCAATTCTCGCCACCATTTGAACGATCCATTCCATTGGTTCGTGGATGCTGACCATTATTGCCATAGTAGCACGGCTCCAGGTAAGTACTGTACTTGTTGGCCACTCCATTTCCGGCATTGGCTGATCCGTTGGTTCCCACTCCGGCTGTGGTGACTCCAACACCACCACCACCACCACCACCCACATAGAGTCCCAACGAGTCGGTGGCACTGAAGTGCGACTCGAAGAGGCTACGGGGATTACCGAATTGCGGATACAGGCCAATCGACATGTTGGGATAGTAAAATGGATCTGTGGACGTTCCGGTAGCGTTAGGGCCTCCAACCTGATTCTGATTTCCGCCCAGCGACATAGGATTTGGAGATAGAGAACGGGCCGGAGATACGGCATCCAGACCGCCAAATGCCGATACCGACGAGCCTCCGCCGGAACTAACTACCCCGATTCCATGGTGCATCTGCTGCTGCATCGCACGCTGCTTTATGTAGTTGGAGAACTCAGTGGGCGACATACGGTAGGCGCTGCTGTTGGTAAAGCACAGAAGGGAAATAACAAAATGTTAGATATATCTTATATTAAGTATTTTAAAGTTATTAGGACTCACTGCCCAAAATTTCAAATCGATAGGATCAAAAATATATGAGATATGGGCTTTGCAAGTTAATTGAAACTATACTAGAACTCGAAATGTTTTGAACTTAGCTGACTTTGGAACTATGTTCATTTATTAAAGATAGAAATATTTATTGATGGTAGACTTCGAGAATATTCTTTTTTGTTACTTTGATTTTAAAACGACTACTGTGATTTGTATTATGAATTGTCAAAAATAACACTAAAATCTCTATATAATATTGGGAACGTATTAATACATCATATTAATTGTGACTAGTGCAGTAATTTATAAGTTTTAGAGCTTGTAGCGTTAGGAAGTCTAAACAATAAAAAATAATAATAATAATGTTAATGGAATAAATTAAAAAACTTTTTTTTTAACTCACAAATCTTTTCATTTTTCTAAAACTTCCTTTTAACTAACATTAACTTGAAGGCTAGGAAAACTAAGGTTCAATATTCGTTTCGTTAATCAAAAAGAAAACTTATCCAATAACAAGTTAGTCCCAAGACAATACAGTAGTTGATATAAATTAGGTACTGATACTAAAAATGTTTTAAGCATTAAAATAACATTTTTAATATGATTCGCATATCTATCATTAAATTGAGAACTACTTTTAATTGAAATTTTTTGGGGTGTAGGATGGGACTGGTTCGTTTGAGGTATTCACCTGTTTGTGCGCTTGGAGCTGGTCTTCAGCTTGGTGCTGCCGAACTTGGTCTGTGCAAAGGTGGCCGTGGTGAAGGTCAAAGGCGCCTGGGCGCCCCGTTGCAAGAATGCCGCTGCAGCGGCATTGGCGGTGGCTCCGGGATTTCCGGGAACGGCAACAGGAGCGGTACCCGGACCGGGTCCCAGATTCGATCCCGATCCGGAACCGGAACCCGTTCCGGAGCCCGCTCCGGAACCGGAGCTGCAGCTGCCGGAGATCGTTGGATTGGGGCTACCCTTGTAGGTGGGCGAACTGGAGGCAGCCGAGTGCGGCGAGGATCCCGCCTGGGGCAGGGCCAATGGAAGTGCCTTGGGACTCAAGCTCAGGTTGTTCATGGTCGTGTTCACCGCATCGATGGGACGAAAGCACTGCGCCTCCGGGTTGAACATCTTGGTGACCTCTCGGTCCGCCGAGTGGCTGTCCTCGTGGTTCTCATTGTTTTCCGTGTAAAGTATCTGGGGGATTGCAAAAGTCGGAGTTACAAGGTGTTTCTTAAAGTCCCGTGAGATTGTAATATTATTTCATAAGGCTAAATATTCTTAATTTGCGTAGAAGGATCAAGGATTATAATATTTGGTTGTAAAAAGTTATTTTTCGATATAATACATATCTTGGTACTTTACGTTAATTTTCATCATCTCTGATAACCAAAAGGTATTGTTTTTAGCATTACAAAAGATGGTGTTTATATTTTAGTCAAATGAGACGGTCGGATATACCCCTTTTTATCGAATTCATAGTATTTTATAGGTCATTTTAAAAGTAACACAAAAAATGTCTAAACATCATTATTAAAGAGCGGGGGGATATTATATTATATATATATATAATATTATATTATTATATTACATATAATATATAATATTATAGTCTATAACTGTTACATATAAGAATGGGCTGATAGTTTTCTGATTTTGTATAGATACATACATATTTCTATTGTGATCCTACACTTGGTTATAGATGTAAGAGATTCGATTTCTTATATAGACAATTAATATAACTATGTTTTTACCTTAACTGCTCCCTTTTCTCCAACACGGAATGAAACCTCTCCGGGATCGATCCAGACGGACAGTTCATTTGGCAAGTTTTCAAGGATATCGCCTATCGGAACACCGCTTTCCCTGGCCGCGCGTTCCAGTACCGAATCGATGGGATCGCCAGTCTTCAAGCAGCGATAGGCAGAGCCCTGAAAGGAAAATTGATGTATTTTATAAATATACTAATCATTTGGATAGGTAATAGTAAGAGGGCAACATACCTTGAAGGGCTTTTCTGGGTACCAGTGACCCTGGAACTTGTCGCGTAACGCCTTCTCTAGCTCCTCGCCAAATATATTTACACGTCTGCGCGGCAACTTGTTATAGAGATAGGATATGACGAAGTTCAGAGCGACCTGGATTTCAATATGCATCTTGACCCCTCGGTCGAGCCCTTGGGTCTCCTCTTTCCACGTTCTTGACTTTCGGACTCTGGGCCCGGATCCCGTTATGATTGGTGGTCCGTCTCCGGATCGTGTACCGTTATAGAGGTGATGTACAGCTCAAGCTGCGATTCGTGGATGCGATGTTGTCGCGATGAGGGCCGCTTATAAGATGTTCCTTGTAGATCATTCGCACTTTAAAGGTAATTTTGAGTGATTCGCTGTTGCTGTTTCGGTTTCTATCGTTTAAGTTTTCTTCTATATTTAATTTTTTTTTATATTTTCTTGCTTTCGTCTTTTTATAAAGATATATTTTGCTTGTTTACTTGTATGCTTGTATGCTTGTTTGCTTGGTTTGTTATTTTTGGTGGGGGAGGTTTGTTTATTGTTTAGTTAATGTTTTTGTGTCTCACCGTTTGGCGAATATCTGTAATTGTTAGAGTTTCGCGACTAGAATGAGAATCGTGTTCATTTGAAATTCGAAAAGGTGTGTTCCCTTCTCCTGTTTTCAGTTGTCGTAATAAGCGTAGTTGCCTAGATCCTAAATATTTGTGTTGTATTTACAAGGCATATCCGGATATTAGATTATGTACATATGGTGTGTATATGTAGGGTGTCTTTTCTGTTGTCCTCGACTTCTTATTTGGCAACGGTTTTACCAAAATATTTTTGGTTTTTTTTCCTTTTGGTGGTGCATTTGTCGATTCTCCTTGATTTTGGCAATCCGAGCACGTTTTTCTAAAACGTTTCCATTTATAACGGGCTTTTAAAGGGCTTGCACTTTAATCAAATGTCTGACGCATCCTAAAAGAGATTAAATAAAGTTTAATTAATACAAATCTTGAATGCAAAAATATTTGGAAAGATTTTAAAGGGTTTCTTTAAAGCTCTCTCATTTATTTAAGAAAAATGTTGATATGATGAGGTACCGCCTAATTATTACCATTACTATATGACATTCGATACTTGAAAAGTAGTCTATAGACTACTTGTAAAAAGCAAACACCCTACACCCCCAAGTCACCTATATGGGTGTCTAGATAACACTAACAGAAAAACACAACAAAAAAAAAATACAAAACAAATAAGAAACCACAGATAAATCAATATCCATCACACAAATGGCGGCAAAACGGAACCGCGATGCGGATATCGTCAAGCACAAGATGGACCTACGGGTCCGATTTAAGAAACTGGTTCGGGCGGTCATTATGAACCAGACATGGCTTTCCGATGAAGAGGAACAGGGCATCTCCATGAATGTCAAGAAGAACGTAGCCCTGATGCGTCAAAAGCGAAAGCCCGGCATGCTGACCTTAGCGGTAAGTTTACCAGATATTATCATATATATCATTATGATACAATCTTAAAAAAACTGAATTTCAGGACAAGGCACTATTACGTTCGAATCCCAATTTTAGGACTATTGAGGAACGCAAGAAACTTTGCATGCTTATAGCTGGACTGAACTGTTTCTCTAGGATTCCTCCGGTAAGGAAAAATATTGGATATATTATTATTGTTCTTCACCAAAAAACACTCTATATCGAGCTTAGAAAATTCGAGCACGCTTGGTCCCGGTCCTTAAGTTTATATCCCTCGCTGAATCACGATTAATTATCAAAGACGGTGATATGCCACTTTCCCTCTATTTTATACTAAATGGCGAGGTCGAGATGAAAAGGACCGTATACAATAAGGTAAGTTTTAATATTAATATGATAACTTACCGGCAAACACGTCTTGAGTTCTTAATTTTGTGGATTATTTGTTAACTTTTGTATTACATTTTATGGAAAGAAGCCATCCGAACTGAAAGATATTGTAAGAAAAATAATATAATCTATTAGTAAAAGGGTATTATTAAGATCCCTGATAGATTATATACAGATTATGAATTTATACATTTTTTTATTCTCTTTTTAAGACCACAAAACAAATGGAAGACGTTCCGGAAGCTATTTTTGGTCCAGGAGACTGTTTCGGAGACGTTGAAATGGTTGAGGATTGCCCGAGAATGAATACTTATACAGCCATGTGTAAGATTGAAAGTAAACGTTATAGTTTCAAATTATAATTGTTATCTTTTTTATAGCTAGTTGTGAGGTTTTAGGTTTAAATGACGTGGACTATGAACGCATATTAAAACCATTTATGTTAAAACAATGGAATGAAAAGAAGCTTGCCCTAAAAGCATTCGACTATTTTGATTTTCTGAGCCCAGAACAGGTAAGTCTAGGTTTAAAGATCCCTGTAAATTATAACATATTAATTATCTATAGATAATTCTCGCTTGCAAGTACTCTTACTTGGTTCAGTATGAGCCCCTGGAGACCATTTATCTGGGGGATAAGGGCTCTTTGGGTTATGTGCGATTTGTTCTTAGTGGAGAGTGCGTCATTTTGCAGTGTTTGAGTATGAAGGCAAGTAACTTTAAAGTTAAATTTAAAATTAATATATAGATATCTCTACCACATCTTTTATCTTTTAAGGTAACTAACAATGATGGAAAGGTCAATTACGAGCTCACCGAAATTGACAAGGATAAGGAGGGACTTCATATGTTCCAATCCTGGAAGGATCTCATCAGTCATAACTCATTTATAGACATTCAGGACATTTTGGCCTCTTCCACCTCCTCTGACGAGGTCGAAGGTGCCACAAAGAAGAAACAAGCGGTATAGATATTCTATTCCATTGTCATTAGATCTAGCTACTTATGGATTCCCAATAGATGCGCAAAATGGGTCTAGCTGAAATTGAGAAGTTTTGCGGTATCCGAAGTTCGACCACTCCCAAAAGGAAACTGAAGCCCAGGAGGACAATGAATGTACAGGCACAGGCCAGGAAAACAGCATTGATACAGTCACTTAGGAGGGGTACTCCTTGGCTGCCAAATGTGACACTCGATTCCGATCAGGATGATGACGACGACGACGATAACATGGGCGACAATGAAGATTATTTGGATTACGACGATCTCGATGAGAATTATTCAGATGACAGCACATATGATTCGGATGTGTCCATGGATAGAACCATTGCCGAGGTGCAAGTGCAGCTAAGAAGGAATACCGTCGGAAGTTCGGAAACAGAAAAGAAGGGATCCAAGACCAGTTCGTCATCAGAAATATTCACGGCTAGTTCGGGGAACAATGATAAAAATAATATTGATGACGATACAACATCCCTGATTCCGGTGAGTATTATAATTATATAGTTGGGTTATGGGAAAGTCTTAGGAGTTGCACAATCAAAAATGTATATCGTACTATATTATATCTACTGCTACTTTCCATATCATTAAGATCTTATATGCAATTAATATGACAATCAAAGACAAAAGAAATACAATACCAAAATTCTGGATTATACTATCCATAACAATACATTATTTTGATCCAATAAATCTGTTGTGATACATGACATCTTTACAATATTTACTTATAAAGCAAACATTGTAAATAATTCTTATATCCGTTATTACTTGTCGTCTAACATCTATATTTGTAATCCTTAAAAGGATCCCGTTGAGACCCACTTTATAGACGTTGGCTCCCTGACCTACGGTAGTGTCTTTGGTCTGGGTGAAAAGATGGAGCACCGTGTTATCATGGCTCGCACGGTGGTCCAGTGCCTGCTCCTTCCTCGCTTCTGGCTCCTTGAAGAGGAACAGAATCCTGGGAACATCTGGCACCGACGACGATTTTACTTCGAGTGTAATGTGCCCTCGCGTCAGGATCTGTTTACCAACTTTCTCAAGACCCGCCAGTGGAACAAATTCCGACATAACTACATTCAAAGTCTGCTAAATAGAGAGGCCAAGGGCAACATCACCAAGGAGGAGGATATACCAATTATGTGTCGCATTGTCGAGACCAGCGATGATGCCCCATAATGAACACACAAGTTCCCATCCAAATTCTCAGTGCTTCAACAATAAAACATGCTTCCAATATGACTTAATAATGATGTGCGGGCGGAAAGCACATAGTATACCTAGTATAAAGTATACCTTATAGTAGGGGATCTCGCCTTTAGCGTTCTTATTATTATCTATTATTAAGTAAACATTAATGATTAAGTGTGGGAATTATTACGATATAAACGTACGTTTTGGAAAGATTAAGTTGTTATAAATACAATAGGTTCGTACCCCCCCAAGATATAATTCAGTTATAGGCGAGCAGCGTATTATCACCGCAGTATATTTCTAAGCTCATTGTAGGTATTCGTTTATGAATGCATTTTCTGCAACTCTTTTTCCAGCAAATTGATGTTTCTACATAAGTATATGTGCATGCGCTCTTCCCTTCCTACGTCATTCTAGGAATTTAGGTTAACCGTTTATCCGAGAAGGGAGCTCTGCTCCGAAACGGGACTTTCGGTACTAATGCATTCGGGAGCGAAACTGGAGCACAGCTGAGCCACCCACATAACGGTAACGGGGGCTACCGAGAGAGCAAGAGAGCAAGTGTGTGCACATTTGCGGGCACGAAGCGTAATAGATGGCCTTCGGGTGTAGAATCGTGGCTAGCTGAGCCATTTAAAAAGAAATGAGAGAGGAAAATATAGGCAATAGCAGATACACTTGGAAAAACTAGGGCAAATTAAGCATGGAGCGGTGAATCGGAGGTAAAGTTTTGAAATCAAGTGTATAGAAGTGTCTAAAAGTATGCAGTAAAAATATAAGAACAGTCCTTTCATATATTAATTTATATTATATATATATTATATTTAATATATTATATTTAATATATTTTGTTGCATACTTTTAGACACCTTTACAATATTTTATCTCTTAATTTAATTGTTATAGTTTTAAAATATTTTCCTATCCCTTTTTTTTACTGTGCAATAGAAGCCTGAAGAGAAAGCCACTCCTCTCTCTCTCACTTTCCCCAACTAGTGAGTGTGTCCCACTGCGCAGTAACATACATACATACGTCACCGAGACCTCAACGCGCCCACACACACATTTTTTTTTAGCACTACTGCAGCTGTGTGAATGCAGCGGGGTCATGCGTGCCTGTATGCGTATCTATGCATGTACATAACCTGCTTTTTGCATTTTATAAACCAATTGAAGGCCACATGCTATGAAAGGCATAACCGTTACGAAGGCTTGACATTTGCCTTCATCAGGCTATAGGTGCTAACAGGGGTTTACGGCTTTATTGGACTTGGGTTGGTCGGTTCAAGCTAAACGTTTTCGAAAACGTATCTTACCCATTTGATTCTTCACAGCTTTACAAGGCAATAGGTTGGTGTTGAAAGGTCAAACGGTCTAAACAATTTTAAGGCCGAATTTAAAAATACTCTTAGGTCTTGAAAACTTTTAAAAATGTGTTTTAAAGTATGTTACTGGAAATGTTTATTTAGAAAGCCCTATCGTTAAGCGTTGAAAGAAAATGTTATTTTTTGTAGTATACTTTTGTGCATATTTATTAGAAGTTTTGAATCTCTTTAAATTTCTACGGCGTTTGTAATAGCTAGAGATTTAAAACTGTAGGACTATTTTGTTTTATGACGGGAACTCCCCAGTTTCAATATTTTTAAAAGCAACTGCTTAAACTAATTTGTTAGTTCTATTGAAATGTGGGTTTTAGATCCATTTTAATTTTGAATGATCAATATCAAAATAAATAATGATCAATTTTTTTTCGGACAGATAAATGATATCGTATTGGGTTTTAAGATTTTATATAATCCTTATATTTAGCACAACTTTGGTTTAAGCAAATACATCGGTAATAATAACAAAACATCAAGATTTTTTTGATAATAACAGTGAGATTATAGAAAAATGTTAGAAATAAATTTAAGATGTCCAGCCCGATCACCAAAGCCAACTTCTCCAGCTGCCGAAAGCGTGACTCAGTTGACATTTTACCTGGTGTCCCTAGAAATACAACCTCCTTCTGGGAGTCCTCACACATCCCTGCATATATTTTTGAATATTTATATATACCCAGGTGTATTTATATTCAGCTTGCTGTTGCTCGTGGTGACTGGAACGGGGCGGAGAAAGTGAACTCTCTCAGCTGATGGCCTTTCTCTCACCCTCGCCGAAAACGGTATCACAACGGTATCTCTATCTCTCGCATTTCTCCTCTCGCTGAGCGAAACTGCACTCTTCAATGGGCCGCTCTTCGCAACATAAAATCAATAAAATCTGGGCCACCAGTTTTAAAGGTTGATTAAAATGACATGAAGGCGTCTCGTTTGAAATCTTAAGCCATGGGTCCACCTTTTCTCTATGTACTATGATGTACATGATGTATATGATTTTTGTGGCAACCACAAAATCAAAATCATTAAGGCCTCGATACAACTACAGATGCAAGTACTACGAGCATTTAAAGACGAATTTTTGACGTCTACGTCTTATGTACTGGCATAAAAGTGAAAATATAGGGCTTTTCAAGTTCACTTGGCTAGCGAACACACGCGCACTGCGGAGTACATAGATTAATGTAAATGCTTGCATAACCCTGCATTCAAATTGCATTCAAGTCCAGACGCTTAAACAATCATATATCATTAAATCTGAGCTTTGGATAACCACCATTGCGTTATAATAAAATTTTTGAATAATATGTTGGGTTTGGGGGTTTGAAATCCCTTGAAATGTTATCAAAAATGGATAAAAAAGTATATTTCTGTTAATATAGAAATCTAGTATTTTTCATAGCATACTTTTATGCACCCTTGTAGGTAACTTCCATATTAAACCAATTTTTTCAATAAAAAACACTGCCCTTAAATTTAAAATTAAATTTAAATCAAATATTCTTGGTCTTAGTAGGATTTATATCCCAAGTGTATGTCGTTTTTAACTTTTAAACGGTGCAATTTGTTCGGAACCATAGCTTTTGTCTTCCAATTAGCCAAATTGAAATCAATTAAATTAAGCTTTCAATTTGCGTGCCTGGATAATAAGTAATAAAGGGTATTTAGAGTACGACTATTTGCCAACAGCAAATTTGCTCGCTTGTTTGAAGATAATTAGATGGGGTTACACAAATGTTCATACAGCTGTGAATTTTAAAAATGTTGTATCTTGAATGTTATTAAGCGTATTTTTTCCATCTTTTATCTAATCTATACAGGTGGTTTCTCTAGCAGGGCATAGATATAAACAAATTTTGGATTTTTACGAGTAAAAATAATATAAAAATAGTTAAAAGAGTTTTTGCAAATTTAAAAAGTAATCTAAAAGATTCAAAAATGTATATTACAGCACATATTTATGATATATGTTTATTTTATATTTTTTAAAGGTCACTGCTATTTTTTTGCTCATGGCTGTGCTTACATACATCCATACAAACGCCCACCTTCTCGCCAATTGTCAACTTATTTTGCCCGTTTGTTTTTATTTTGTTTTTCGCTTTGTATTTATATTGCATTCATCTTTGGGATACCAAAAGTGTAATACATTTCCGGTTAAACAGCAGATAGAAGGCAGAATCTATATCTTCGAATCATTATCACAGCATTATTGGTTGCGGAAGTGCCCAATTTAGACGTCTAATAATCGAAGTAATACACGGGTTACATAAAACCCCAATATATCTAGTTATTTCCAATTTGGATACAAATTTCGCTGTGCTAAATTCTATCGCACTAGACATATATATTTTTATCGACAACAAAAAGAAAAAAAAAAACAAACCAAAAGCTCTGCTGCGATTTTCAATACATTGCATAACGCTTTTGTGGGTTTTCGCCTGCAGTATTTGGTGGTAGAATCACACTCACAGCTTATATAGAGCATTTGTAACTTGTGGATTGCACACAATGTGTAGTACTTCAATTTACAAGATCAACACAAATTATATTTAGTTATTCCTTTAGTGGGCATTTCATTTCCCGCAGTTTATTTTTTTTTTGGTTTTATCGAGCAGTTTTGTGGAGCACACAGGCGTTGCTCTAATTTTTCCCCCGATTGGCTTGGCGCAGGGGTATTTTCAAAAGAGAGACGAGACGACGAGACCCAGAGGAAAAAAACAAGAAAAAAAAATGAGAGACCCTGGTTCTCAAGACAACACAAAACAGCTGACCGAGAAACTTTGGATGTTTTGGTATTCGTGTGTGTGTGTGAACTATTGGCATTTTCTAGTTTCCTCTTCTTTTTTTCTTGTATTATTATTTATTTTTACCCATATGTATGTAAGCACTGCACTTGCCAAAATGTATATTTCACTTAAGTTTCGTTAGTGATAAAACACCATCATATGAGGGCACAAAAACAAAATCAGCTGTTCGTTTTTAGACACAACACAGCCAGAGATGATGGTACATTTTACCTCGCAACCGCAAGCAAAAAAAAAGTGAAAAAAAAAATTGGTATTTAGGCACATGATTCCCGTCGTTCGTTTATCTAAGCACACACGAAAATTGAAATGACAAATACACTGTCATGCCGGAATGGCCATACAATACACACTTGAGTGTGTACAGCGCACAATATACATTTTCATTTTTTTTTTCGAATTTTTTCTGTATGTACAAACGTACACTCGTAGATACAAATGAGCTTCTGACGAACGAACCCCGCGACAAAATGCCAAATGATGGTCTTCTGACTCGCTTGTATTTTGGGTTTTGGTTAGGGGTTTTCTGCGTTTTGGTCTGGGTTTGTTACAGAAACTGCAGTTTCTGGCAAAAATGCAAAAACAGCTGCCACTATTTGGTTTTGCAACTTGCAACTATCGCTATCAAAAGATGCTAGATCAAAAAAAAAATGAGAAAAAAATTACGCAAATGAGAGTACACACATGCACTATTATAACATTCGGTTTTTGTTGTGCAACAACTGTGTGAGTTTGTGTGGTTAGTACAGTGGATGCTCCTTATGATGTCCGACTTATGTTAATTTTTAGAGAGTTTTATATCCTCTTTATAACAAGTTAAGGATACATATTTATGTTTATTTTTATAGAATTTTGATACCCTTTTTAAAGAAGTTGTAGATAAAAGTGTTTTCCAATTTATATAAATTTTAAATTTGTAGAATTTCAAATCCTCTTTATAAGAAGTTGTGGAAAATAACTTTTCCCCATGTCTCATTCGGTTTTTAAACCTTTGTTTATTTTCATAGAATTTTGATACCCTTTTTTAGGGAGTTGTGGATAAAAATGTTTTCTATTTTATATAAATTTTAAATTTTGAGAATTTCAAATCCCCTTTATCAGAAGTTGTGGAAAAGAATTTTTTCCCATGTCCAGTTTATTTTAAATTCGGAGTATGTCTGTCGTCTACTTTGATACTACTGCTTAAAAAAAAATGTTGATCTATTAAAATCTTAAAACTTCCTATAGAATCTCAAGGTGGATGAAAGGTTTCAGTTAGGCAGGGCTGACTGTATGTGGGCAGCCATCAGCTGTCAGCCATAGCTTATAAGCACTAATTATGACAACAAATTGTGGGGAGCGAGAAAACGAGATCTTTCGAGATAAAAGATATTATTTAAGTTGGGGTTTCGTATCTGGAATTGGCCTTAACTTGCCGCCAAAACGTTATGTGCCCTATATCTATATAAGTCGAAATACTTTAAGTGCCAATAAATAGGCTTTTAATAATTCTCTTTTTAAGAAATTTTTTTCTTATGTAGCTTGAATAATATGATAGCAAAGGGGAGCTTGAGCTCCGAACTTCGAACTCCGAACTCCCGTTCCCCGGAGTAGTCGGGCTCTACCTCATCCAATTTTAGTGACGAACAGCTGTCCCTTTCGGGGGCGCTCGAAAGCCCAGTGCTCTAGTGAGCGCCGTAACGACAACAAAACAAAACGATATGAAAACAGCCGAGCGAAAGTGAGAGAACAGATGCTCCATCTCCTTTTTGACTTTTTTTCTCCTATATTTTTTTTTTTGCTCTATCGAAATCTTTGTTATTGTATTTTCTGTGTGTGTGTATGTGTGGAGGGGAATAGTTCTCTGCTTTTCTCAATTTTTGCACAGCACACACAAACATGCAATTATATTGCATTCTTTTTTTTGAAAATATATTTAAAAAAAAAAAACATTTTTTTTTGGAAAATACCGGTGCTATTTGATGATGCTAACTGCGGGTTTTCCGATTTTCTGGCTTTTGGTTTGTTATCTCCTGATCGTCGTTGTATTGAACGAAGAGTTTGGCGAGTTATGTATAAAATAGCCCAGTTGTTCCAACTGGTGCGCTATTGTTTTTCTTTTTTTTGTGTGTGGGTATATGTGCTCGGATGTCTATTTATTCATTTCTCGTTTTAATATATATTGGTTGGGATTTGGTAGTTTCTCATTGTTGTTTTCGTTTTGGGATTGCTTCTGGTATTATTTGTTTTTCTTTTATATTTTGGTTGTTTTTTTTTTTTTGGTGAAATGTCTCTGCCCGTTACTTAATTGTAGCACACGCCACCTAGCAAGGGCCGAGTGAAACGTCCGTAGTTCTTGAAATCGGTTTAGTAACTGAGACTGAATTGACGCGCGAACGGGCCTCAGTGAACCAACAACAAAGCAAGTGCACACGCACACTTCGGCACTAGCAGCACCACCACCACCACACCATCACTTCATTCGGCACCACGCACGAGCTGCACCCGAAGTTAAATGTTCTAAACACGATTTCGCTCTCTCTCTCTCTGCGTTGCACTCTTCCTTTTTTTTGAGTGTGGGTGCTTTTCTCTCGACACATTTATACCCTTTAAGGGGGGTTATATCATTTTAGGTCTAAGTTTGCTCCTATGATAAAAGTTCTTTATCAGTACTGTCTTTATATTTCCAGCGCCTATCAATATTTACATGTTTTTGGGAACTTTTGTTGAGTAACCTAGGCAGGGGTGGACCTGAATCGACAATTTTTTTACGGGGACAGGTGGTAAGTTTTTAATATGATAACCCCATTTATCAATTTCTTGATTTGGTTTTTGAAATATTAAATAAATGTAATAATTTTGTATGAATCTGCCCCTATATCTTAGTATATCAAATGGAAAATATCACTCATACGCAATGTTGCACTTCATCAAAAGTTTATTTTGATCCAGATGGCATAGGTTTCCAATTATAAAATGTATTGGTTTGCTTTCCTCTTTTTTTTAACAATTATTCCAATCGAATCAATCAGTTAACCAGGTTAGAAATGGGTACTAAATTATAATTGGCATACGTGTTGTATGAGTAATTTTGAAGAAAACTTATAATACACCTAAGTAAACCTTATAAAAAGTACTTAGTTTTTGAACATGCAAAGATTGGCTTCATTTTTATTTATTACATTTTTAAAACTCAAGGATAAGCATAAAAATATATCTTTTTTTGAAGAACTGCCTTATGTATAATTATATCTTACCTTCAAGGCCATTAAAACTTCGGCTTGATGAGGCTAGCTCGGCCCCTTGTTTTTGTATCATTCGCATGCTCTGAATAATGTTGCGCGTGACGTGCTCGTAGTAAAATCGAGCCTAGAAGGGCTTGCGCGATGAGTGCATGTCCTTCCATGGCACACTTTTAGTACAGACTCCCCCGCACCACCCACCAAAAAAAGCAGCCATCGAAAAGTCTCTGCTTCGGTCCGCCCCCTTTTATCCGAAAACTGGGGCAAGAAATGAAAGTGCATGAGCACGTAACATATGCGTACACACAGAAATAATATGTACATTAGAGTGGACCTTGTTCAAATGTTAAAAGGTTACATATTTATAAAAAAAAATGCATATTCAATAGACACACAGTTTTTCATAGGACAATTACTAAAACATTAATCAAAATCAAAGGGAAGGCTGTTTTATTTAAATTTAATATAATTCCAAATCCCAAAAATAAATAACACATGGAATTCAAGGATATTTTATTTATTTCATCGCAAAACATTTGGGGTACACATTTATACATTTATTTATACATATATAATGCTTAGATTTTGAACGAACATGAATACAAAAATATTGATTTCTGTTCCTTTAAATTTCCTTTTTTATTAAATGTTTTTTTTTTCATAGAATTGGCTTCCCAGGAATACCTAATATGGTACAATAATTTATTTTTCTAGACTACAAAAAAATATTAGTATAGGTATCACAAATATATATATGTATGTATATATAAATACATAATTTTAGCGAAATCTAATGTTTCAAAAGGATCATTGATATACACGTACTCGTTGAAAGGAATTGATTGATTTTTCTTTATTGACGGACATTGCCAAGGTGAATCCGCACCTGGATCGGTCTGTCTCTTAGGTTGAGCTGGAACTTAGTAGCAAAAACACACCTTTAAGTGGGAGGAACCGATATTATACAAAGACATTGCTCACATTTAACTCGAATTGCACCAACCATTTCAAAATATTGCTTGAGAACTGTTCGCATAGCAGTGCCACTTTAGTTAAATGTGTGCGAAATGTATGATGTTTCCATTAAAAATGCGATACACTAGCTTTTAACACTGACTATTGAAACTGTATGTGTGTTCGCACATATTGCGAAATCGGGATTACAAGGATAATGCTAGCTTTTACGCAGCCAAAAACGGTATAAGATAAAAAATAAATAAATATTAAGCACTTGCATAAGCTCTGGTTCTACAGTGTGTTTCAAAGCCCTTGAATCCTGAATCCTACTGTCTTGAAAAAACACCCTGTAGAAACGTTGTCGAAATATGTATATGGTAAACATGTATAGAGTTAGGAACCAGCGCAAAAATTCGGTGTTTGCGCTTTACTAGCACACGTTGTCCTTAAGTATATCTTGGGATTAAAATATATATGTATGTGACCTCTGTGGCATAAGTTCCAATCCCTTTTTTCGGGGATTACGGTTAAGATTAAGAGGCCATCGTCTTGATAATGGATCCATTCAGCGTTGGGTCTCTCCGGAACGCATCTGTTCGCGACCATCGCCTCGCTCGATGTACCAGTTGTTATTGTTGCGCTTCTGGGCATGCTTGTGGCGAGCGTTCTCCCGCTGTTGCATCATCCGCTCGTGCCACTCGCCACTGCCGCTGTCGTTTTGCGGATCGCGCTCCTTGCTGTTCTCATTGGAGTGTTCGTTGGACTTCTTATTGTAGCGCCCTCGATTGTTGGACGACTGATCGTAGTACTTCTTTTTGCCATGCTCCTTGGAGTGGCTATGATCCTGCTCCTGTCTTCGATGCTTGCGCTCGTGCGAGGAGTGCTGCTCCTGGTTGTACTGTTTGGGCCTAAAACGATCTTTCGAACCATCCGCCAGCTTCGACGACTGGCCATGGGAAGTCACGGTTTCTGGCCCAGCCATTTTCGCTTGGTAATTGCCTGCTCTTGGCCCAGCTTTTGCATCCACATTTTCGTTTTCATCGCCGGCAAACGAGCCCAGCTTCTCGGTGATCTTTTCAAACTTGTGAAAGGCTCCGGACTGCTGTAGCACATCGTTGACGACACTGCCGATCTCATCGGTTAGCTCGTCCAAATGCTGCTTGTTCTCCACACACATGCCGGCGATCTCAACGAAACGACCATCGGGGCATTGGAAGGGCTGCTTCAGGTCGGCCTTGGTGATGTCCACGGGACTGACGGAGTCCCCATTACCGGGCCAGGCCTTGAAGGTCTTGCCCTTGGCACGGCCTGCCCCCTGACGCTGCACCCCATCCTGGCCAGAGCCCAGCAGATACTGCAGTTTCTTCGACATGATATCGATCTCGGCGCGCAGCAGATTGTTTTGCAGCTCCAGCTCACCCACTCGGCGTTCCAGTTCGACCAGGGGCTTGTCCTCGCCGAGGACCTGCCACTCCGGATTGCGAAGCTTGCCTACAAAGGCCAGAATGGCCAAAGTGGCGGACACATAGAAAAAGGCCGTAAGGCCATTCTGCACCAGTGGTGGCAGTTCAAGCTCGAACTTGGAGCGCACTATGTTCGTTGACTCCTGCACCTGCACCTCATCCCTTTCGGGATACTCCTTCAGCTGCTGGCCAGTGCTAATCGGTATGGGTGCAATAAGTTCCACGGAACTTGTGGGCAAATCCCCGAAACCCAAGTCACCGAGTAGTGGTTCGCGCAGAAAGAGATTGGGTGAGATGCGATCGGTGCTCTCGCAATCGCTGATTATCGAAATACCATCGGAAATGTCGTCCGCCTGGGGATCCTCGGCCGCAACCCTGTTGCATCTGTTGGAGGAAAGGATACTGGTTTTATTTTCTATATAATTCTGAGAGTTGAGAGGATGTACCTCTCGATTTTCTGCTTGTCCGCTCGACTGCTCGGCCTTAAATCCGCCAACTCCTCGGTCTTCTCTAGGTCGTCATCCTTCTCCTTCGCCACCGGCAAAATGGTCCACGAGTTGAGCACCGACGACGAGGAGCTGCTCCCGAGAGACTCCTCGCTTAAGGTGGGCCTGGTCTTCGCTGGCCCAATGTCTTCGCTCCTGCTGCCCTCCGTCTCCATCTCTGAATTGTTGTCTGAGAATTTAAAAATCGCACATCATTTTGTTATCTGTCATGAACTTTTGACGCGTTTGGTTTTTCATTGTTATTTGGTCAAAATCTTTGCAATTTACGCGCTGTTATAATTACCCATTATATACCTATAAAAATGCGTATTAAAATGTATTATTTCCTTATTTAATAGTACTAAAATCCTTTGTTTCAAAATGACTCAGTTTTTTGGATTTAAGTTTGCAAAATACTTTTAATTCTTGGCATAATATTAAATTACTGGAAAATAATCATACATGTCAATAGAAGACTTCAAAACAAGTGCCAAAATATTAAAAAAAAATTAAGAAAATTTTCAGAAATCAGATTTTGCTTTTTATTTAAAAAAATAATTCGTTTATAGGATTCTGTCAGCAATTTTGGGCTCTTTTACCCCAATGTGCACTGTTTACCCGGGGCTCGGCTATCAATATACTCAAGTATCAGGTCAAGTTTATATTATACTTTTAAGAGATATACGAACAACAGGCTCCTCGTTTGAAAGACTTTTTATAGGATGAGGTACTTCAATAAAATGATTCTGATTCTTTTTATAGGAATATACAAGTTCATAAATATACAGGTACCACAAAGGAAGTCCTTGAGAAGTATGTATACTTTTTGGGGATACCTAAGAACCCTTCCAATTCTCCCGTTATTTTGACACTGACCTAGTAAAGAAAATTTTGTAGCTCTATAGGACTGAGCGAGAAGGCAATAGACTTTTCACATGCTAGCTTTTCCCTAAGAGCGAGCGAGAAAGCAGTACCTACGTCATGAAAGGAAATTTTGGGTAAAATGGCAAGGCTAAATTTTCTCTTTATGGGTTTACTAGGCCTACTAGTACTTCGACCTTGAAATGCCTATATATGTGAGTACCTATTTACGTATATATCTTTTCGCCACAAAGTTAAAAACAATGAATATATGTAAGTACGCATTAATGTGCGTTTTTGTGTGTTAGTTCCATTCGATTCGTTATTTTGAATTTGGAATCAGGGTAAACATTAAATGCACTACACACCTCGATTTCAAACAATTTGCAATAGCTGGCGTAAATGGATGATAGTTAAAAATAAAATTGCAGCGGATATCTTCAGTGGTAAATAAATAAAATTCTTTGTGAGTTCTAGAGGTGGGAGTACATCGATGGCACTGGCACTATCGGACCATCCGATTTTTCTAGATTTGTATATCCGATTGAAATCGGAAATGCAAGATACCGTTGCAGACTCAAACCATGGTTCAGAAGTCCACTAAGCAGTGTCTTAAACCAGTACTAACGGTATTTTGTTGAAGATATTTCTACATGAGTTGTGTCTTTGGCTCAAAAACCTCTAGAAAGTCTTCAAAATAAATCATGTATTTGGTGGAGATAGCTAATATAGAAGTATTTTAAAAATTTCTAAGTCTCAGTAACTCAGATAAAAAGTTAAGCTCAAATATAAATAGAATAAATGGGTCTCAAACATTTTTCTTGGATTGAATTGAATCGAGTGTATTTACTCAATGTAATAGGAATTTTTCGGAAAATATTCTTTTAAAAGTATGAGAGTTTTAAGTTTTAGTATAATGGTTTTAACTTTTCCCTCTGTGATTATATACATATAGGATCAAATTGCTGAGGTCTGCTCACCTTATAGTTGTTTCTCCATTATCCTCCTCACCTCACCGGCCTCCGAACTGAGCTCCCAGTCGGAGGCATTTCCCATCCTAGCCTCTAGATGTCGGCTCAAAGTACTGTTCCTGGACGTCGGCCCTGCAATTGGTCCCTTTATAAGGCGGGGTGCTGGCACCGGATGGGAGATCCGCTGCCGATGCTGTGGCGTCCAGTAGATCTGGCTGGTCTGCTGGGCCGATTGGTCCAGGATCAGTGGTGTTGCCCTGCCATCCTGCATCATGGCATACGGGCCATGGGTCTGGGTAGGTGCTGGACGTACGTAGGGCAGGTAATCCACTAACTGGGCCACCTGAACACCCTCGCCCGTATCCACCAGAACCAATTGGTTCAGGGGCACCGGCCTGGCCAGCGTTCCGAGTTGCTGGCTTGACAAATACTGTTCGGAGACATTGGAGAGCAGGCTGTTCCGCTTGCTAACATGGGCGTAGATGGGCGAGGCTCCATCGACGGCCATTCCACCACTAGATACATAGCGTCCCTGGGCGATGGGTAAACTCTGGACCCGCTGAGGCACCTGCGGTCGAGCACTGAAACGTAAAGAAAAAAAATATTATAAACTCATTTCGGATAGTACAACCCCTTTACATACCACTGATCATCCACGGAGGCATACGAAACGGGTGAGACATCTGCATTGGGTGGTGTGAGATGTCGCTTGTAGACGGGTTGCATTGGCGTCTTGGCTTCTGGGGCTCTGGTAACGCTCTTGCGACAGAACTCCTTCACCTTCTCCAGAATCTCCTCCCTGGTAAGGAGTCCACCGATGCGTCGGGACTGCCCATGATCCTGACCCCTATGTCGCATTACCACCGGTGTCTGTTGACCAGGATTTCCAGTACTTGGCACCATGTTGTCCAGAACGCTCTGACTTCGAGGAGGTTGCTGTAGCATCTGCATGGGCATGGGCATTTGCACTTGCCTCTGAGGAGTGCCATTGAAGACCGTTAGGGGGCGATTGCGACCACTGATTCCCGAGAAGGTATTACGCTGCACCGAATTGCGAATGAAGTTCTGCTGTTGATCGGGTTGCAACACCACCTGGGAGTAGATATCCTCATTCGGTCGTTGAGCTGTCATATTTTGCTGCGGCTGAGGGACAACCTGCAGTTGCTGCTGTTGATGTAGCTTGTGATAGAGCTGGCGATCTGTCACCTCCTTAATGGCCCGCAACTGGTCCCACTGGTTCTGGCCACGCACAGGGGTCGAGGAGGCAACAGGACTCGCCAGGATGGGCTGGTCGTGGCTGAATTGACTGCGATCCACCGAGGTGGAGCGGTTAATCCGACCCACCTGCTGGGCCTCGGGCCATTGTCGCCTGGGATTGACGCCCGGTCGTTCGAGTGTTGATCTTCGCAAAGTGGTGTCACCGTTTCGGCTCTGGAAATTGGGATCACTGTTGCTGTTTTGAAAAGTGGCGTCACTGTTTCGGCTTTGATAAGACGTGTCACCATTTCTACTTTGATAAGTGGAGTCACTGTTTCGGTTTTGGAAACCAGAGTCACCATTTATCCTCTGCAAAGTAGAGTCACCGTTTCTGTTTTGGAAATTGGGGTCACCATTTCGGTTTTGGAAATTGGAGTCACCGTTCATCCTCTGCAAAGTGGAGTCAGCGTTTCTGTTTTGCAAATTGGAGTCACCGTTTCTGTTTTGGAAATCAGAGCGACCGTTTACCCTCTGCAAAGTGTTGTCACCGCTTCTCCTCTGCAAAGTAGAGTCACCATTTCTCCTTTGCAACGTAGAGTCACCGTTTCTCCTCTGCAAAGTGATTTCACCGCTTCTGGTGACTTTTTCAGTTGAAGGATCAACATTTGGAGATGGAACCTGACCATTTTGGCGACGAAAATTAGGACTCTGGCGCTCCAGTAGTATACGACGTATCTCGGCAGGGACATCAGCTTTGCGGCGATAATCCTCCTTGTCCTGGTCATGGAACAATACCCGAGGTATGGGACTTTCCGACTTTGGAGTGGTTTTTCGGCGAGCTGGAAAGAGACTGTTTGAGAGCCTTTGCAGCACCGATAGCTTCTTGGTGTTGCTCTTGCGCAGAGCGGCCAAGGATTCGGCCACCTGTTGACGTCGCTCCTCGGCCGATTGCATCGGAGTGGAGGTCCTGGCAATTGTGGGTGTGGGCGAGAAGAGTTCCCGCCGGGGCATCAAAGCCAGTCCCTTGCGATCCAAATAGGCCTGAAACTCATCGGAGCTGATAGTGTTGGTGAAAGTGCCCGGCGTGGGCGTGGGTGAGGGCAAGTCCTCAGCTCCACTCATAGCCGGCTTTATTTGTGGACTCTGTGGAACTGAGGAACTGCCCGCCAGCTCGTCGCTCGATTCGCTCTTGGTCAACGGTCCATCGATATCGTCCAGGTCATCATCCGAGGTAATCTGTAGCTTCTTCACCCGCTCATCGAATTTTCGCGCATTTTTTGTCACCTCAGCGGGATTGAATAAGGCACTGCTCTCGGGATCGGAATTGGTACCAGTGCGAATCTTCAAGTTCGCTAGTTCTGGATAGTTGGGCTTTGAGCACTTCTTAAAAGTGGGCTGTGGTTTTCGTGGCTCTGGATTTTTCTGGTTCTGATTTAGATTCTGATTTTGATGACGGGCCTGCTTACCCGTTCTCGAATCCTTGGGCGTTTGTTTCCGCTTGGGCAACTTACCATTACCAATTCCAGATGTCTCCCTTAGTTCCTCCAACTTGAGACGTGCCAGCACCGTGGGATCATAAACAAAGTATGCATCCGGATTCTTGATGTACGTCTTCACATACTTGGACTGCTTCAGGACCTCCTCGGTGGTCACATAGTCATCGGTGGTCTGCGACTGTGATCTACTGATCTTACTTTTGCGAGTATTGGACTCGTTCTTCTGCTGCTCCCGCTCCTTGTCACGTTCCCTTTCCTTTTCCCGTTCTCGTTCCCTCAGTTGCTGGGTCACTGTTTTCCGAACACTGAGGGTCGATCTCTTCGTAGGCACCGGTGGTGGTGTCTTCTTCTCTGAAGATTTGGCTATGTTACCATTGCGAAAGGGATTCTTCTGGTCGACGATGGGTTCGCCGGTGATGAACTTTTGAATCTTCTCGTCGTTGGGATTGAAGCTAACCGATTTCTTGGTCTTGGCACTGCTAGTAACGTCAATCTCCGTCGAATTCTCCGCTTTTGTCGGGGTCTTCACAGGGCTATCCTTCTCTTTGTCCTCCTCCTCTTTTTCCTTTTCCTTATCGCTCTCCTTTTCAAAGTTCTCAAAGGGTTCTATGATCTTCAGAGGTGCTGTAATATAGTTATCTTCCTCTAGTTTCTGGGATTCTTGGTCGACTGCACCATCGATTTCTTGGCTTTTCGGTTCGTTTAGAGGACGGATTCCTTCTTCGCTTTTAATGATCTCAGACATTTTTTGGAGCACTGACTGGGGAAGAGTGGTGAGGGGGAAAACGAGAGGGCTTGGAGTGGAAGAGAGTTGGGAGCTGCTGTCGTCTGTGTGCCCACCATCGATAATGCTGTTTCGGGGTCCGCGAAAAAAAATCTGCAAATAATTTAAAGGTTTGATTATTATTGGGTAAAAGTTTACATAAAAATTTTGACATTGCTAAAATAATACCTCAATATGCAAGGATTTTATAAATATGTTCCCACTGCATTATATTTATGTAAAATCAGTTCAAATATTCGCTTCTTGTAACAATCTTTTAAGGTAAAATTTATGTCAAAAATTTTTAATTCAGGGTTTCCCCTTTTTTTATCAAAGTTATAAAGACATCGTTGTATCATTTACTTTAAAATATTTTTCCTGATAAGGATTATATTTCGCAACATGAAACTCAAATAAATATTTGCCCACAAATTGGCATTGTTTCGATACATTTCTACGTATTCGACGACCCATAAAAAATCCATATGTTTATTCTACAAATTTAAAGACCAAAAAGCCTTCTCTTTAAGGTTAAAATCACGGTTTCTTTCTTCTCCCAAGCGAATATTCGGCCACCAAACGTTGGAATTCCGTTTTGCAAATACCGAATTGGGGAAAAACACCACTCCATCTGCTGGGAACCCGGGATATCGTTGGGATTGGGTAATCCCAAGGGCCCGTGGAACACGACCCAGTCAGATTTTCAGCAGTTTGGTGGGCTGCTCTCAGGCGGAGGCGACTTGTAATGAACGGCGCAAAACGTAAACAAATCGCGAGGGAATGTGTAAAAACAACAAAACATGCACGCAGGCCACCTGATGACTGACATTGACGATAAATGAACAATCGACCTCAATAAAGGCAGGCGCACATATGAATGTAAGTACGATCCGAGTACGTATGTACATACCTAGCCACATATGTACATATGCTAGGCAGATATCTACGTCTCGGGAATTTCACTTGAGTTGATCATTTAATTAAGGCCCCCCACCGACCCGCGCCCCAAAAAAGGTCAAATAGCCACAATGGCACTTGACTAGGCTTTTTGTATCCGGCACTCTTGAAACACACAAATACATCGGTGCCACGCAAAGCTCTTCCAACCCAATTCTCCCTGAGATTTTTTTTTTACGACGGGTAGCAATGTGTGTTATCGTTATGGGTGAGTACCAATATTTATGAAAATCTAGCAATAGGATAGTGTATTTGTTTTTCCGAAATCAAAGCAAATTTTGAGCAGGAAAACTAAAATGCGAGGAGGGTATTAGAAATTTTTAACAGTTTCTCAAAGAAATCGTTTTCCAAAAACCTATTCTATTAAAACTACCTTTAAGGGATTATTTGGTATAACAGAAAATGTAGTGTTTTTGATTAAAATATTTTTTAAGTATATTAAACTAAGACATTAATAAGTGAATTTAAATTATATCATGGATTTTTAAAATCAAAATTGTGTATAAACAAAATTCGCACATTTAAACATAATAACAATTTCTCCAATATCTCGAAGAAAACATTTTCTAAAAACCTTTTCTGATATTTTTTGAATAATAGGAAATCTTATGAAGGATAGTTTTCGTACTTTTGATAGCTGAATTTAAAATCTTTTTGTTATTTTTGCGTTTTGAATAATATGTTAAGTCTATCAATCGAAGGATACATTTTTAATAAATCATTATAATGGATTTATAAGATGAAAATTGCTAAAAATAAACTAACACAAGATTTTTAAATGTTTCAAAGCAAGTAAATTATTAAGAATTATTTTATGAATTTTTTTATAATATTTATTTTTTTTAAATTTCCTTTTGAAATTAGTTTTAAGCGTCGTTTTTGATTTACCAACAACTCATTTCCCTTTGAAAAATCAATATGTTTTTTTCTGCTCGCAACCTACTTAGACTTTTCCTAGTATCAAATTCGCAAAACTGCGGTCTGTTGGCCCGAATAAGCATATTGTCTACTAACCCACTGGCAATTGCCACCTCGTGTCAAATGATTTGTGGAGTCGGGTTCGGTTATCGGTAGAGAAACTGGTAAATTCAGTTGCAATAATTATTGCTCAGTAGATTACGTGACATCGGATGAGAGTCGACCGCTGAACTGCGGGGGCATTTGATTTTCCAATTGATTTGAAGGCGAATACAGCAGCCGACTGTCGATTGTAGACTGTCGACTGAATTTGAATACCACTCAGATCTCAGATCTCGGATCTCGACCACATGTGTCGGCATTTAACAGGGCCTGAAAAAAAAGGGTTGCCTCATCGGTAACTTGAGCAACACACTCTAAAAGTAAAAAAAAAAAAGTAACTGAAGCCAAATGAGAAGCTAAGAAAGAAGCCAGCCGAAATGGTGGCAAAACGCAATTAAAAAGAAAACGACTGAACGGGTAAATTTTGTGTATACAGGGGGTCTCTGAGATATTCCCCAGAATTTAGATAGGGAAAATATGAGAAATTGGGCACTCTTTCCAGACACCTTATCGCCCTTAAGTTGGCAATAAAATTTGCATAAAAGGTTTATGTTTAGAGGATATGTTAAAGTCAAAGTACCCATACTTTTCTCCTGAATTTCTTTTTTTTTCTTTCTGCTGAGCAAGGGCCTAGTCATCGTCTTGCCAAACTCGCATGTTGGCAAGATACATATATGTATCTCAATATATATATATATGTACGGTTATAAGCCGACCAGGCTGATTTGTAGCTGTGAGTAATTCCCAAGGCTGAGGCATACTAAATGCATATTCGATCGGTGTTTTTGTCGAAGTAAGCCTGTTAGTACGTTTTCCGGGCAGCTGCTCTGGATCGTTCGTTTTTTTTTGCCTTTTTTCGCTTTCAGCTTGCAAAAGATTAAGCCCTGCGATAAGATAGTCACCATTATCTAAGCAAACACACACACATGAGTTCGATTCCAGTATTTAATAATAATAATTTGAATTCTAATCACAGTGGAAAAAGGGTGATGGAGAGACCTTCCCAGTAAAACTTATCTGTAAAACAAAATTGTACAATATTTCATGCTGTTCGTGTAGCGAATTCTATGGGAATTTACCTTGAATTCTAATGTTACAAATTATATGTTATCTATTTGTATGCTAAAATACTTTTTATGATAATACTTGAAAACTAGATATTGAGCAATGGAGCCAATTAGGGAAACTACGTCAAAAACCAATATATCAAGTCATCTGTAGTGGGTTTTGAACTCGCGAAATTTGGATGCACCGTGGGCAAAAGCAGCGCCGGCGCTAATAAGATTATATCTTACGAAAAAAAAGACACCCACTCAATACTAATATATTGAGAGGGAAATAACCCCTTGAAGAAATTATACTACACTGAGAAAATTTACTGTCATAAGGTCAATTTTTTTTTTATGAAATGGTGATATAAAAATACTGTTAATTCTAAATCCTTTAAGAATATCTTTATATATCTTTTTGATTAATTTTAGAAAAACATTTAATATAAATATTTAATAGGAGAGCTGAAAATTGTATCCAGTGTATACGGGTCATAGCATCATCGATCGATTTATAGCATGAATTTTTCGCTTACCACCACGCAATTGGGAAAGGGAATTGCATCCCTAATTCCGCATAGAATTTCAAATGGATTTTTCTCCCAAATGAAAATGAATCAATGTCTGATTGGGAAGAGGCGTAATGAAGATTTCCTTTTGCTTTTCCTCTTGTTTTTTTTTTCTGGTTGGACCTAGGTTTTCTTGCTTTTGCTTTTTGCTTTCGTCATTGTTATGGTTATTTGCTGTTGCTATTGCTATTGCTATTGCTATTGCCGTTGCGCACAGTTGGGTTAATATTTCGAAAATAAGCGGTAATTGTGTGTCTCTGCCACCATTTTGTGGTTTGAGTTGAGTTTGTGCTTGCTTTGGTTATTTCTGCGTTTTTTTTTTTTTATGAATATACTCTTTTTTTTTATGTTTTTAATGCTTAATGCGCCGCGGTTTTCCGTTGGTTTGGCAGCAAGAGCGGAAAAAGTGTGAGTTGGTATCGGAGTTCATTCACCGCTGAGCCAACTGGCAGATGCCAATAAGAACGTACATCCCAGTTGGTCTTGAAGAAAACCCCCAACGTTAACGTTCTTTTTTGTATTATTATTCTTTTTTTTTCACAAACTCTTGCTTTAGCCCGCACTCACTCACGAAGTACAACAACAAAATACAACAAAATAATAATAAAAAAAAAAAAAACGAAAGATACAAAATCATACAGATACAGATACACACACTGGCACTAACGTTCGCTTACTCACACAACCACTGTAAACAGAATCGGTGGTTGAGATCCCCCAAAAACCCCTCCTACAATCCAACCTACAACGAATCCACCACTGTTTTCCTCTGCTTTTCTGTTTCTGTTTTGAGTATTATTATTAATTTCGCCGTACATTGTGTTACAAAACCCAGAAAACAATCCAATATTTTGCCGTACTGTTGCTGGTAAAATAAATACAACACCGTTGCAAAAGGCAGTAAGATACGGATACGATCCGTACTGGCACTCTCTGGATGTGTGATTGTGATTGTGTTTGACTTTAGTTTACGACAATTACCTAAACAAACGTGAACAATAGCGGCGGTACGACGACGACGCGCACTTAACAACAAAAAAAGTACTCCGGCGTTCGGCAAACGGGAGAAACCAAACAAAAAACACGTCCGCTCACCACAAGAGTTCAAAGCGTTTTGAATAGAGTACCGCTCCGTAGGGATGCAAAAACATCGATGTCACTATCGATACTATCGATGTTTTTTAAAACAGCGATGTATCGATGCTTTTTTTCGAACATCGATGTTATCACTAAGAGATACACACGCAAAGCAAGTGGTACGTAAATTGGGAAAAAGTGCACATTTTTCCATTTTATTAAGTATTGTTACAGTTTGATACAGGTAAAACATATTAGGGCGGTTCCTCTCGGCACAATGGACAGGTTTCTGCACATAACAAGTAAGTTCCAGTCGCAGCAGTTGTTATTTCATAATTTTAACACTGTATTGCGTTTTAGACCACGTGTCTGCTGCTTCGTCGTCTGCTCCAACGTCTGCTGCTTCGTCGTGGATTATTAGTTAAGATATAGATATCGATTAGATAAGTAAGATAAGTAAGAACTGAACTGAACTGAACTGAACTGAACTGAAGTGAACTGAACTGAAATAATGTGATTCCATTTTTCTTTATGATTTCGTTAAAATATGTATTAAGATTATGCTTTTTTATTTGTTTCTGAAAATATTGTTGTTGTTTTGTTTGAATAAATATAAGTTTATAATAAGTTTCATAAAAACAATATTTTAATTAATATTTGGAGGGTTTTATGGTATATATTCATAAATTGAAGAAAATTTCGATGTTTTTAGCGAAATTTCGAGGTTTTAGCAAAATTTCGATGTTTTCGCGAAATTTCGATGTTTTAGCGATATATCGATGCTTACAAACATCGATGTTGAAAACATCGATGTACTCACTATCGATGTTTTTGCATCCCTACCGCTCCGAAAGTCGAACAGTAAGCGGCAAAAACGTGCTCCCGTCGCAGAGCGCATGCGCAGAGAGCCGATATGTGGCTACATTTGCAGCGCTGCCGGACTGGCGGATTTCCAGCCAGGCTTGAGCGCAGAACTCCCGATGACCCGACCTACACTGGGAAAAAAATTGAGTTCTTTCAAGTATTAAATGCATTAGTTACATATTAAAAATGATTATTGAAGTTACTGAGGAAGCAATAATTGCTGGAATTAATTTATCATTTTTATTATTATTATTGTAAAATCAGGATTAATTTGAATGACCTTTGAATATAAGAAAAAGTTTAAAATTACTTAATTCTTAACTTTACATTATAAGTATGCCTATAATTAATATAATAATTTAATAATTAAAATAAAAATTGTAATTAATATACAAATTTTATTCCAAACTAACTCGCAACTTATTAAAGATTTTTTACCACTCATATGAAAATTATATTTTTTTTCTGTGTCCTAGTACTAAAAGTATACTAACCTAAGTTAACAAAATTAAAAAAAATTGAATATGAAATCCAATCATTGCAAAAGATTTCTTTCTTGTGTGTTTTGTTATGGTTCTTCTTCTTCGCATAAGGACATTTTAGGGCGCTGCCACCTGGGTGGAAATAATATTTTAAGGCGTTGCCAACTGGTTGAGCTAAGAATGAGAATTAATGATTGACTAATAACTAAGCCAACCAATGTAAGGTAGATAAAAATACAACAAAATATATTTTGTTTCTTAATTTAAAAAAAATTTAAATAAAAAGTAGGCAGAAGGTATTTCAAGTTATCCTCGTTCGCACCCATTTTACACAACACGGCGGTTTTATGTAGAGAAGTGCAGCGCCATCATGCGGTAAGGTCCAAAAGATGCAATAGCGCTGCAGTAGTATTTTATTTGAACCCTATTAACGCCATCTGTTGTGGGTTACACAAACCAACGACGAAAAAGTATGCTAGATAATAAATAGATTTTATATGCTTAAACTATTTTTAGGCTGTCTTACGTTTTTTATTTTTAATGAAAATTATTTTTTTTTACGTCGAAAAATATTCAAGCACTTTTTAAAAATATTCTAGGACAGATAACAATCGCTATGTACGCAAGAATAAAGGTTATGGTTAGTTATATTGTAGTAAATAATTGATATGCGAATAAAAAGCTTTTGTCTATACAAAGTTGGTAAACTAAAATAGATAAAAGGAAAAAGCTAAATATTTAAACAAAAAGTATCAATTTGTACTATTTTTACTGTGTGTGTCGGCAGAGCGCCGGCAGCGGAAAACATCCTAACCCATAGGATAGGAGTGTGCTGACCACTGGATTAAAAGCAAAATACGAGGGTTTTCCTTACCAATTCTTTGGCAGTACGATGAATATCATTAATTACCACCTTTTCTTACATTGCATCCGAAAGATTTGCATACGAGTTGGATTAGTGTGAGAACTGTTTCAAGGGGCGATTTTGAGGGCATTCCCCGAGGAGATCCCTAGACAATCCCAAGCCAAGGGCATGGCCTCCTCTCGCTTAACTGGCAATCTCGCGCATAATGATGGTTTCAGGTTCCAGGACTTTGTCGGCCAATCAATCGATGGTCGCATAGAGTTTAACATTTACCCCGGCTCGCTTAATTCGGGGGTTCGGTTACGGTACTCGAATTGGGGATTTCGCTGGGTAATGGATAATGTATAATGGACTGGAGACTGGAGCGGCTGCGGCCCACTGTTTTAGGTGCCAGCGTATATACCATCGGCCTCATATGCATATGTACGCTTTTTTTTCATTTCACAAGACGGGCATTTCTTTCGTTTTTCGTCTTTGGCTTTGGCTTTGGTATTAGCAGAAGCGTCTTTGACTTTGGCTTTACCCACATAATTGGTCTTGGGGTTGGCCTGGCCATGGATGATGGTCCACGGATATGCTTACATATCGTATCGGAACGGAACGGATCGCATCGCATCGCATCGCCTCGTATCGTATGCCGACCAATTTAGGTGGGCCCCCAATTTAAGTGATAATGATTATGCGTTGCGTCGACTTCCCATATTCCCAGTTAGAGGAGAGTTCAGTTCCCAGCGCCGAGAAGAAAACGCAATCTCCAGGTTCAGGTTCAGGTCCCGAATCCCAAAACTGCAACCGATGGCCAGAGCCAAAGCCAAAGCCAAAGCTAAAGCCAAAGCCAGAGCCAAAACCGTACCAAAACCAAAACCGAGCCCATGCTATGGAGTTACTGTGATTTGTGGTTAGTTGCAGCTTCTGTGCTACGTTTAAGCCATTGGAGCTGTCAGGTCTACGTTTGACTTTAAGGCTCATTACGTCAAAAAGAGGCAGTGAAAAAGTATCGTTAAAACCTTTGGCAATCTGTGGGAAAATTCTGCTCACCATAATTTGCATTGGGCTCAATTAAATTTGCTTCTGCCTCGTACCCCCGATTCACAATATGGACATTAACAGGAAATTGATGTTATTGTCCCGAGCCGATGCATGCACTTTGCCTTTGACCACTCATATGTGGACACAAAGAAGCTACCTGAACTGAACTGAACAGAACCGAAATGTCCAAGTGTCTGGTGCCCTCCTCACTCGTTAGTATCCTTCTAATTTCACCTGGGACCAACATATTTTGACACTCATCCGTTCACCGCAACCTATTATTTTAATGACCCCAGATCACTTGTTGCTTTGGTGTTTTTTTTTAAACCAAAAAAATATCGTAGCTTATCAAAATCAAGGCGTACAGCTAAAAGACCGACTGTTTTGAACAGCTTGCTAGATATGCTAACGATCACTATCACTTTAAGGGAAATTTATTTTTTGACCAATTCTTCCATATTTTTACATCATCTATTTTTGCGAAAAATGGAAAAAATAAAAAATTTTCAGGCTTGAATGTCAATCGATTGGAAATTAAACAACGAGCTCAACGAGGTATGACATTCCTCATTCTGGCTTTTACTTTTATTTTGGCAGCCAAAAAACTGAATTTTTATGGCAAAAAAAGGGTTAAAATTTTTGTGAAAAATGCGAGATTCAGATTTTTGTCAAAAATGCGAAATTTTTTTTCGGTTTTTCAACCGTAGTTTAGCCAAATTAAGGCGTACAGCTAAAAGACCGACTGTTTTGAGCAGCTTGCTAGATTTGCTAACGATCCCTATCACTTTAAGGGAAATTTATTTTTTGACCAATTCTTCCATTTTTGTAAGGGGGTACATCATCTATTTTTGCGAAAAATGGAAAAAATAAAAAAT